AGTAGCAGCAACAGCAGCAACAATAATAAAAACCGAATTGACCCCCAAGAACATTGGCGTCTATAATTATTTATACGATGTTTCATTTGTTTTGGAATTTTTCCATTTTTCTATAAGGCCAGGCCAGAAATCAAACAAGAACGAGAAAATCCTAAAAAGCATTTAAACTGCATTCAAGCAACTAAGTATATAATGTTTGCTAAATTCCATTTATTGTTTATCAATAGTATAGGTATCAACTTAAGTTTATAGCTTTTCTATTGAACGGTTGACATCGACTGCTTAATACTCGTTCACGACGATTTTACCGAAACAAAATATTTTTGGATCGACCTTTGGAAGTGCTCATCAATCGTAGACTTGCTTTCAAATTAGCTCAGTTTGGCTCTAAAACTGTAGAAGACTTGGGTTCAGATTAGTACGAGTATATATTCCGAATTTGAAGTACCTAACTTTAATAGGACAGTCTGATGGAAGGGCATTGTACAGAACCTTATATACTTTGTTCACTTTATAAACGAGGATAAGAATTCGTACCAATCATATTTAATGCCTATAATTAAATGTTCAAACAGACTCTGTCATCGTCCGTAAACGCTGCGTATGAGTAACATTTTCTCCGGAGAGACTCACACGTGCCAGAAAGCGCCCTCTATCGTTGCCAGTTCGTGTTTTGGCGCGCGCAAATTTTTGTTTGAACGCTTAGTTTTTGTTTTTGCTTTTTTTTTTTTTTATAATGCTGGCCCCCAAAAACTCTGTCTATCATCACGATAATAATGACGACAGGGACAGCGAACGTTGATTGTGATAATGATTGAGGTGCGCAGTTGGGGCGCGTTTTTTTTTTGTTTGTTTCATTTTTTTTTTTTTTTGGAGCAGCTTCAACTGCTGTTGGCTACAATTTACATATGTTGTATTTATTTAGTTACGCGCTATTTTCCTGTTGTTGTTTGCCCATATTATTTGTGCTCAACGGAATGATATTTCGGCGTGCTGTGTCGAGCCCCAAGCACAATCAATTGGAAGCCCAAGCGAAAGTTCTTTTAATGATTTTGATACCCTTGCGGCCGCGTGCATTATTATATTGTCACGCTTTCAACGAGGCATAAAGTGGTCCATGAGCCAAGTCTATAAGTATATGTAGCATATATATGTCACCAGCCGAATGCTTAGTACAGAATAAGGGCATTTAATCTTCGACGCCACAAAGTTATTTTCTTTCTTTGCTTTCTTGTTCTTTCTTCTATTTTTTTTTTCTTCTACAATTTTTGAGCTTTTCTTGCGCTACGGCGCGGCCAATAAGAATTTAACACTATAACTGTTGTTGTGTTACTGTTAACGAATCCGCCGGTTTTTTCTTATTTTTTTTTTTGTTTAGTGGCTCGGTGTGGTCGTGCTGCTCTGAGGCGTGAAGCGCGCTCAAATGTGAACTGTCAAATTCTATGTGCTATGCATACGTATGCATGCATATGTATGTGTGTCTGCATATGTTAAATGTCTATGTACTGCGTACTGCTGCAATTATAGAGCGATCATATTGCACTTGATGTCTGATTGCTGTCTGCAACACTGTCCGAAATTGTTTTGCGTGCACTGATATCGATATTTGTGTGTATTATGCGTCATATCGATATCGATTAGAATTGACGCTGCCGCCCACTCGCTGACCGTGCGCCTAATTTCTTTTCTTTTACTGTATTGTAGCTTTTACTTTATTAAATTGCGCTTGCAATCCGAATCCGAAATCCGAATAGAAATCGGAATCGGAATCAGTGCGAGCGACGATGCGCGCGCGCACTTCGCTCACAAATACATTTAAATCAATTAAACCCGTTGTGACGACAACGTCGCGTCGGCAGCAGTAATTCGCGTCTCAAGCACGAGCGGCCACGCATACACTTGTTGTTGTTATTGTTGTTTTGATTGTTGCTGGTGCTGCTGCTGCTGCTGCTGCTGCTACTCCTCTCGCACTTGTTGCTCGCTCTCTCACAGCGATGCTCTGTGACGGCAGCAGCGGCAGCGACGACGGCGGCATACGACACCAAGCACCGGGCCCAGGCATCATTACGGCTTGTCGTTCTTTAGGATTTTAGTTCATCGATCTCAGCGTAAGTGCTCGCAACACGACGCTCGAGTTGTGACTCGGCTGCGGTTAAACGGCATAAGCTTTTTTTTTTGTTGTTGTTTAATTTTTTTTGTGCGCGCTGCTTGAAATTATTTTCAATTATCATATATTCAAAATTTTTATTAATTTTTTTTTATTATTATTTAATTTTTTTTTTTACTTTTGTATATTGTCGATTGCTGATCTGCGTCGTGTGTGCATTTAACATTATTGTTCCAATATATATATGTATGTAGTACGCGTGTTTGTTTCCTTTTATCAGCAACAGTTTAAAGAGCGACGCACGACGCACGACGCACGACGCGCGACGCGCGACGGCGACGCGCGACATCGAAAGTCGCGGCTTCGTTATCGTTTTGACCGTCATGATCGTGTCCCGATCGGCACCGTAACGGTTTATCGGTATATCGCCGAAAACGAAAACTAAAACATGTCGAACAATTTTGTTACAAAAAAAAAAAAAAATAATAATAATAATAATAAAAGAAACAATAACAAAAATACGCACACAAACAAATACAGCGCTTGCATCCGGAAAACTGTGTGAGAAAACGCAGTTATTCTCTCAGACAGTTCAGGAAAAACCGAAACACAGCACAACAACAAAACAAAACGAAACGAACGATCCGATCCGATCAGTGCTGTGGTTAAGCGGCTTTATCTTATCGCCGCCAACGCCATTTGAGCGTCTAGAAGCCAGCCCCAGTCACGGCACCGCCAGAACCCCTACAACACACATAGAGTAGTCGCTGACCGCACGCACAAAAAAAAACTCAAAATAACTAAAAAAAAAAAAAAAAAAATCAAACATATATATTTATATATATATATATATATATATATATATATGCATAAAAAAAATTCGCGATCGGTTCGAAGATTTGATTTAATTCAATTCTATTCGATTCGGTTCGATTCTACAATTGTTGTTGTCTTTAGAGAGGCGTTCGCTAATTTTCTTGTTGTTTGCCGGCCAAAAATTGATTTTTGTGAATATTTTTGTTGTCGCCGTCAATCAATGTTTATGAAATTCAAATTATACAATATCTAACAAATAATTTGTGCTGAGAAATACCAAAACAAAGCAAGTAAGAGCATTGCAGTCGGGTGCAGCTCACTGCGCAATACTCTGTTCAGCGCGTTATTCGATTAAATCTGTCGAAAATTGTCTTCTTGTTTGGCGACTCTAAGACTAAGGAGGAATTATCGGACTCAAATTGCGTCTAATTCGAGAATTTCTGCTCTCAGATTATGCTTTGGAGAATCTCAACAATGGTCTATCTGAGAAATTTGCTTAAGAACAGCCTCAAGACTGTGCGAAACGTAGATTCTCTTGGCTTTCCCGTTTGATCAGCTATTGCAGTTCTCCAAATCAATATACTCTCGTTCACTTTCCGTACAGAGTATCTAAATTGAAACAAAAACAAATGATCAAGTGCAATTTGATAATCATCTAAAGTTTCAAGCATTGCTTGCAAAGTAATCGCAACGAATTATATTCGCAGAGTTTTCAAAATGACAGTGATATGGGTTTATACGCACTTCAATTTGATCAAGTGTTCCCCTGATTCAATCAAGATTAATTCTTAGCATTTTAAATACACTAGGATTACATTGAACGCATTGCGTGCAAATATACAACTTACTATGAGCTTATTATACAACTTTTTTTTACTTTAAATTGACACTTGTGCTGATCATATCTTAAACTAAACAAGTTCCAGAAATGATGTATACCTTGTAGTATATTCCTCTATAAGTTTTGTAAATTGCAAAATCTTACAATGTTTGATTATGCGCCCTGTTAAGAAAAGAATTAAACCTATTTTCAAGGATTTTAATGAAATTTGCCAGAGTTTATTTCAATCAAAGCGTCTTTTATACTTCAAATTATGCTTTAATCAATTTTTTTATATATAATATATTTTGTACTTGTTTTACTCCTTCAGATAATGGCGTCTACTTTCTCGCGTTTGTACGTTTCGAAATTTAGTAGTTTAGGAACTTAGCCATTAAATGGCTAAAAAAAAGAACCAGTTCAGCTCACAGATTTTTCCACTTTACGTACAAGGTATAAGTCTTTGGCAGGCGATTCTGTTTCCTGGTCCACTCTAAATGCATAACAAAATAAGCGTTGTAATTAAAGTACTGGAAATAATTGCGATGGAAAAGTAAAAGGGCTAAGGGAACCAGTTCTTTGTGCACGTAACTGTAAAATAAGGAAGGAGTTCAAAATCTCAAGGTAGCTGAAAAACTTGTTTCACAAAGCACAAAAAGTGGCTAAACAACATAAAAGGGACCATATCATTAAATACGCACCAGATCAATATTAGCATGCATACTTTATACCCTTACTGAGGGTAATCTTTGGGTAATTAGCCAGATATAGAAATATATTGTACATTAGCTGGATTACAGTTATTATCTATTTAATGTCCTGTACCAGTGAATTAAGAAAACAAAATGTGTACTTAGGTTAGCTTTACAGATGTTTAAATGGCGCCCTTCTATGCGATTCTCATAAGTCCAAGTATTCTATCATAGTTTCTGAGGTTGCGTTTATTTATGTACATGTAGATGTAGATGTATTTGGTTACCTCAACACATGTATAGGGTATCTCATTGTCGAGCATTCTTCCATATCTTTTAGGTGCGTGTGTATATATTTTTACATTCTTTGCTGTGTTTCGTTTTGTCTGTGCTGTGTTTCGGTTTCGCGGTACATAAAATTAAATGCGAATTTTAAAAACAAAACAAACGAACAAGAAATAATGTTAATTTCCAACAATACGCGTTTTCCTTTAATTCTTTTTTTTTTTTTTTTTTTTGCTTTTCTGTGCTATAAAAAAGTTTATGTTTTCGTTTTTTTCGCAGCTAGTAAAAACAAAAACAACTGCAACAACAAAACAAACACACAAACACAATCATGTATTTATTATGAGCATTAACTAACTGACAACAACAACAACACAAATGTACAAATCAAAAATTCTATTGTAATGCCAAATCCAATCAAATCAACAACAAAAAACAAATCCAATTAGTTCAATTAAACAATCAATGTGACAAAAGCAACAAATTAAAAACGTGCCAACTACTATCAACCAAAAAATAATTTTATGTCTACAAATATATGGAGTTAAATATTTTAAGAGCAGCTACCGTTAACGTGCTACACCTGCCAAAATAAAAGAATTAAAAGAAAAAAAATTAAAAAAAAAAAAAACAAAATATATTCAACTAATAAGACAACATTCACTCAATGCTGCAATATATTTATATTAAGTTAATATAGAATTAACTAAGGCAACTAATATACAACAAGAAAGGTTTATACCAAATTTAATAAACAACAACAACAACAAGTACGAGAAAACGGCAACAAAATGCGCTTCACTTACAATCAGTATAAATATTACGAGTCCGGCTATCGTATTCCATCCAAAATGCACAACCTGAGCCATCATCATGGCGGCAATGGCAATGGCAGTGCTGGCAAGATTAACAGCAACAACAGCAGCAACAACATCAACAACAGCAACAGCCATCACTACAACCACCATCACAACAACAACAACAGCAACAACAACAACAATACAAACACAAATGCATATCAACATCATTACAAAACCAATTTTGGTAAGCTTTAAGCAAGAGCGTATAAAAAATGCATTCAAAAATATTGCATATTGTGTCCAAAAATAGGCATCGAAAATCTTTTTGAAAAGAAAGTGAGCCCCAATGTCTGCGAAAATTGGGTCAACAGCTTTTAAAACCCTAATACCCCAGCAATAAGCGTTACCTCCAAAAATAACTAAACAGCCGGCGGTACAATGGGCTTTTCGATCCTGTTCAGAGCTGAAGATCCATTGAACCGAACTATGTTTTAATAATATATGATTAAGTTTTTGAGTTTCGGTTAACTGTCTTTATTTGCGGTTCGATCTAAAGCCTTGCAAGCGACGAAACCTTGCCAAAATTGGAGAAGCTTTCTGAGGGATCCCTGACTTGTCTGATTGCTTGTCCTGCAGGACTGTCTGCATGACAAGTCAGCAAGCTGGTCCCTGATCGTTGCCTCTTTTAATCTTAGCTTGGCGCTGTTAATTATTTATTTCGTTTTTCCGACAAATTTTCCTGCTTGCCCGAAAATTTGAATACCTGCAAGCACATTTGTCAATAAATAAACTTGATATGAAATTGTGTTTGGGCCAGATTGAAACGTGAAACGGCGTTCTCTCAATGGTGACAAAGTCCAATGGAAGCTCAAAATGACATTCGCATTCGCGTTTGGACAAGAAAATGAAAAACTGGCGCCTTGTCGATGTGTGTGGGTTCACAATTTGAGTGCCAGAGGCGCCTCACAAAAAAACTGTATTCAATTACTCGCCGTCTCTACTCGAGTTCCAATTTCATCCATATACATATATATATAATTAATATATACATATATATTTATAATATATACTTATGCACATACACATTTCTGCTTTTGCCAGTTGCCAAGTTTGCCCAGCGATAAGATTAAGGCCAAAACACATCAGACCCCGCCCTTTGGCGGCCCTGATAGCCAAGAAATTCAAGCCAGCAGCATCATCAATAATTACTTAGCCGACTTGAGAGCCTATATATAATATATATAAATATAAAGCGCAACAGCTGCATTTTTAATTAACTTTTACTCATTAAAAGTATGTTAAAATTTTTAAATTTTGGCACATCATTTAATAAATTTAAGCCTTAGATATTTGATAACTTTCTTTATTTCGCACAAGCTGATTTAAGCCGAAATGCGTTTCATGCAAATTGGATCACGCTTTGGAATATAATCCAATATAATACCAACCTATATCTTGACAAAACAAAGAGGTCTAGATATATGTTTATGTCATGATAAATGGAATTTCCGAAAGATCTCTCGAGCTCGTATGCTAAATAATCTAATGCAAAGCGCTGCAAATTGAATTAAACCTACTTTTTTTTTGTATGCCAATTGAAGCCGAGCAAATTACATAAAGGCGATCTAAGAAAAATATCCAAAAATCTTATCTCTTTTTGGATCGCAGATAAAAGAACAACAACAACAACGCGTCGTCGCCTGGGAGTGTGAAAAGGCGCGCTCTTTGTGAGGGTGGGTGGGTTTTTTTTTTTTTTTTTTTTGTACTGGCTGCGGTTCTGGATTGCTTTGTCTTATCGCAGGCGCTTAGATAAAGTGCCGCGTCAGTGGCAGGTAGGTTAAATAGCTAAGGTAACGATCCCAAAACGCTTTTTGGGCCAAATAGGTAGGTAGGTGCACACCCAGGCCCACACACGTATTTGTTTATAAGTATGCATTCGAGTTTTGCCTCTGGGAAGGGAGACCCCATAAAACCCATGATGTCAGTTATGGTGCGTCTGTGTGTGTCTGTCTTTTACAATCTCAGCTCAAGGGTTAGTTTTGCATGAACTTGACGCAGCAGGCATAGTTAAACTAGAGGGGCATCAGAAACAAAAACAAAAAAAAAAAAGAAGCAAAGATCAAAACAACAGAACCCTGATGAAATAGCCACATATAACAAACATATCTCGAATGCGATTATTGTTATTATATTGTGTACTTGCGCATATGTTGTTATTCTTCTGCTGTTGGCAAATATTTGTCACATACTTATCCAATGGCAAAACTCTTTTAATTAGGTTTTTTTTTTTTTTTTTTTTTATTGAAAACCCAAAGCCTAACATAACGCCAAAGTTACCTGTTGTTTATTCTTGTTTTGAATGGCAACTACACCTCATATTATGTAGTTGGCTTTTAACACGAGTTTTGTATCTTATCTTGTAATCAATCAATGCTGAACTTATGTCATATCAAAATGCTCGAATTTGAGGTATGACCTAGTATAGTAGTGTAACAAAATTATATGTTTTGCTTATCTGGACGAAATATCTTTATAGACCCAGGCAAGAGCTTGGCAACAAGTGTCAAACCATTTACCAAATACATTCACATACATTTGGTAGCTTTTAAGGTTCTTAAGTGGATCTATTTAAGTCTTTGAAACGTATGCAACATTAGAAGGCGATGTATTTGCTGATCGGAGGTATATTTAAGTAATTTGTTAACTCAGTCATTTACGCGGCAAATTTAAAGACAACTATTTCGATTTAACGCCTTTCTGTGCGATTTTCATAGGTCTTACAGCAATATCATTGAATTCTCCCAATTCTCTCTCTCTCTATCTCTCCTATTCTCTCTCGCTCTTCTCTTCCTGAAATATAACATTATGCAACTGTATGAAACTGAAAGCCCCATATACATATGTATTTACTTATACAGCACCCTGCATTTAAATAGGGACACGAATTGTGAAATGTTACCTTTTTATCTTTCATTTTGATAACAGCAAAAAATACATCATTTGACATTTTAAATTATTATACCCTGAACCCATAAAAATGGGTATAAATGATATATACCTTCCAAATCATGACGATTTTTTTCAAAATCGATGTCGGTGCGAAAATCGAAACTTTTTCGAAGACTTTTTTTTTATATCACGGGTAATAGCTCCGCGCGGAGATATGATGTTCCAAAACGACAGAACTCCGCGGGAGATATGACGTTCCAAAACGACATAACTACCCGCGAAGATATGACCTTCCAAATCAATTTTTTCAAAATCGAGGTCGGTGCAAAAATCAAAACTTTTTCGAAGATTTATTTTTTAATATCACGGGTAATAGCTCCACGCGGAGATATGACGTTCCAAAACGACAGAACTCCGCGGGAGGTATGACGTTTCAAAACGACAGAACTCCCCGCGGAGATATGACCTTCCAAATCGATTTTTTTCAAAATCGAGGTCGGTGCGAAAATCGAAACTTTTTCGATGATTGCACCCTGAACCCATTTAAAATGGATATAAGGGTATATTGTATATGTGCAAAATCCAAATGTATTTAACAAGCAGAAGGAAGCATCTCCGGCCCCAAAAAGTATATATATTCTTGATCAGCATCAATAGCCGAGTCGATCTAGCCATGTCCGTCTGTCTGTCCGCCCGTCCGTCCGTATGTATGTCCGCAAGGATCTCAGAACATATAAGAGCTATAGACTTGAAATGTAGGTGCTCCCAATGCCTGCGCAGATCGAGTTTGTTTCCGATAATCTTAATCTTAATCTTAATTAAATATCTTCTTAAAATATATAAAAATATATGACTCGTTCTTTCGACTGATTATGTATATTTAATGAGAATGAAAATAGAGTAAAAACCAAAGTTATGATGTCCCTATTAAACAATGTATTTATTTTTTTTGAGATTAACAAATAACCGGTTAATTAAACAATGTATTTCTTTCTAATGAATAAACAATAAGCCACTGAATAATACAAAGCAAATATTACGTCTGATTTAATTTGTATTTTTTTAGTTAAATAGTTGCATATGAATTTAATTAACGGCCGTCCCTATTCAAGTGCATGGCGGTGTACTATATAAACAAGAAATTGCAATTTGCCAAGTCGCGCGTCCCATTTGCAATGAATATAATTTAAGAAGAAGAGCCCCAGAAATGCAATAATCAAATGTAAACATCGATCAGCAAATAGAAACAAATATGAAAATATTTATGTACAAACAGAATGTGAATCGGAGAGTCCGGCATTAATGCAGATTTGAGCGGGTTGCTTGGGCAACAGCAGCGCCCGCCTTGGGGCTTATCAGTGTGTGTGTGCGTGTGTGTGTGTGGCTGCTATCAACTGCTTTAACTGGGCAATGATAATGCCTAGACAATACAAGCGAAGCGTTTACAAGCTCAAATTGTGCATCAATTGAGGCGCCCAAAGTGCAACAATAAAGCGCAACTTGTGCTGTGCAATTGGATGAACAATTGCATGACAGCTGCGCGGTCCGATGCTGCATTTATGCTGCAATTGCAGCTATGACTTATATACACACTAGCACACATATATACATCTAAATATATATGTATATGCATATAGATATATGTGGAACCTGCTGAGTTCATGGCGCACACAGAGTTCAATGCACTTTGCCTAGCTGCGTCGACGGCTCCAGCTTTGCGCCCGTTCACGGGGCATTATCAGCAGCAGGCGCGTTGCAAGTCGCACCATTTTTGCATTGTGTTTAAATGAAGCACTTGATATAAATATACATATATATATATATGTATATATAGGCATATATTGTCTTGATCAAGCGGCAAAGCATGCTGCACAGATTTGCATTGCGCCGACTATGCTTGGCGCAGTTTGTTGCAATTCTGATTTTTCTCTCTCTCTCTCTCTCTCCTCTTTCTCTCTCGTACTTATCGTTCCAATTCTGGTTTAAGCTGGTTTTATCTTGAGATTATGACATATATTTGCTTGTTCTATCATCTACTCTCGCTATGAACAATATTTGCAATTTCAGTAACAATCTGTTGATAGTCATCTTCTTGAAAGAAAACAAAAAAAAAGAGAAGAAGCTGTCTATAGACAAATATATGTTTGTATAGCACTTAGTGGTATTTTCTGACATTAACGTAATGGCTAATAAAACGCATTAAAAGTTGAGTTTGAGGCCAATCTTTAAATCAAGATTTTAAGCTGACTCGCATGAAAAACAAACAAGTTTTTTTTTTATTTAAAACCTCTTCCATCCGCTTCAATTATCTATAATTTTAAATCGTTTTTATACCAACATTTTGTTTAGGTTAAGCCTAAGCTAAGCTTATTAAGAATTTAGAAAAATTCCACCCGCAACTGTGGAAAATGAGCGGATAACTTTTGTATGCAACACGATTGGCTTCGAACTAATCTGCAAAGATCAATGTTTAAATTCATTGTTAAGCTTAAGTTAAAACTTTTTAAAAATTTTAAAATTTTTCCACCCGCAACTGTGGAAAAAGTGCCGAAAATTTTGCTTACTATCCGATTGGCCCCAAACTAAATAATCTATATAAAAGTTCATTGAGAACATATTTTCAAACGTTTTTTTCCAAATCCAGCCCATATTTCACATATGTGGGTGTTGTGTGGGCGAAAGTTAAATTTCTATCCGATAGTAGAAAATATCAATAAATTTGCGCCTTTTACAGACAGAAACTGATTTGTTACCTTTTTTCGTAAAACATAAATAAAATAAGTTAAAATACAAACAACAGAATTTATTGTTCTTTTTTATTTGCTTCCAGGCATGCGCATGACCATGTCCACAAACTCAACGATGAGTCCGCGGATACATCGCAAAGGCTTTCGGATACCATCGAAAAGACAGCCTGGCAAGGGACTGCCGGGTAAACTGCATACCATAGCCCGGGTAAGCACTTTGGATGGTTTATGCCATAGCAGCGGCTGCATAAGTATTTAAAACTAAAAATTGTCCACTTTTCATCTGACAGACGGGGCCGGGAAAACTTGTGCCTGGCAAGCGAATACCACAGCGACCGCATCCGCCGCCCTGCGACAATTCGAATGACAGCGGCCTGGGATTCGATCAGCACACGGAGCTGCGCAATGGTGCGGGTGCTGTTGCTGCTGATGCCAGGAGCAATGGGGCCAACAGCGCCAGCAGCAGCAGCAGCAACAGCAGCAACAGTAGCAGCAGCAGCAGCAGCAGTAGCAGCAGCAGCAGCAGCAGTGGCAACAGCAGCGCCTCGGGCAGTGGGCAGCACACAAATCTGTTGGTGAACAACGCGTTGAACAACAGCGTGGCCGTCACCAACTCGCTGCAACAGCATCATCAGCACCAGCAGCAGCAGCAACAGCAGCAACATCATCAGCAACCGCAGCAACATTCACCGCAGCAGCATTTAATACGCGCGATACCCGTTTCAAGGTGAGTCCATCTACCCTTTCGATCAGTCAGCTGTTCAGCTCTCCAACTACCTTACACTCACCTGCACATACTCATATACACAAACACACATACACATACACACACACACACATACACACACACAGAGACACACACGCGCATCGGCTAGCTTTTGGAACTGCATTTGGACGCAAATTGAGACGCTCAGCGTTACCGAATTACCGGACGCCTTTTGCCAGTTTTATTGTTTAGGTTCGTCAAAGCGCATTCGATTTTACTGTAAATAAAATATATACAGAAATCGTTCAGTCCCGAAGTTGGAAATGCATTGGATTATGGTTTCTTCATAAATCGGTTCGCTTGGCGAAATGGATCGTTGGTCATGTGCGCCCTTCAGTAGTGTATCGCACTTGGTTTCGAAAGGAAGTGTGTTGTTCTCTCATCGAATATCCGTGCAACAGACACCCTCCTCCCCAAAAGAAAACACCTCCCAAACACCCTTCAATTGGCAGCATGAGGACGCCGTAAGTGGCACGTTCGGTGGGGGGGTCGAATCGAACATGATCTTGTGCAAGATTTCGAAGAAGAATAATCATATCTAAATACTATATAAAGAACACATTGTTCTTAAACGAAACGTGTTCATATGTATATGTATATATATGTATGTACATGTGTATATATATATATATTATAAATTCCGTTTGTTTACATCTTTGACAAGTCGATGTGAGATTCTCGGCCACAAACACAAACTTACTTTTGAATTTATCATTATATTTTCCAATTTAATTTTTATTTCAATAAATACATAATGCCATTTTCATCAAGACACAGTGATCGCTCGCGAAGTTGAACTGCTTCGACTATAAATAATTTATTTACTTTTCGCTATTCTGTTGCGACCAAAAGTTGTTGAATATTGTTTAAAATTCTATTAATTAAACGCTATTTAAATTTACGAATTTAAATTTACAATATATTAAAAATAATTCGGCAAATAGTTTATTTTCCATCCAATTCTTAATGGAAATGGAAGAGTCAATAAACAAAACAAAATCCCAAAAAAAGATCGGGGTTTAGATAAAAATTCGTTTTTCTAAATGGAATTTTCACTTAAAAGCTAAAAAGTAAAAAAGGTTACAACATTTGGCAAGAAATTAAAGTTTTGGAAATGACGTTTTAAATTTGTTTGTTTTAATCATTTTGTGATTAATCAAATAATGATTAACTATATGTAATTTGCAAGATATTCGAAAATGAAGAAATTCCAATAAAAAAAAAACCCACTAAGCCAATCAAATTTGTAAGATTTGGTTTTATGGACAGGTTTTTCGCGATGCATTTTCTGTTTTTGCATTGTAGGTCATGGTGAATGTGTTTAGAGACAAGTGTCTCGTTGTTGTTAGTGTGTGTGTGTGTGTGTGTGTGTGTGTGTGTGTAAATGTTGTTGCTTTAATACTTATGCCACATTATAATTACATGCCTGTAATCGCATTTGTATCTTATCAATTCCACATTAGAGCTGCAGCAGTTTAAGTTGCCGGCCACTTAAAACACCTTCTTATCGTACATATGTCTCTCGTGTGTCACTTGAAACAACGAGAATATAATAATAAAAAGTGCTGCTCTCTGATTTATATGATCAATTCCGAAATGTTAGTAAACTACTTTATCGACGCGAATTGGATGCCGGCATTTTAGTTAACTACTCCTTTATCGGATGCACATTTTGATACCCTTCCAAAGGGTATTCGAATGCTTGGCATGAAACATTGTATGTATATATATATACTTATGTATGAATGTGATCAGCAGCAACAACCGAGTCGATTTTGTGTGTGCCTGTGCATACTTGTCTCTCAGTTTTAAAGCTATTCTCCCGAATCAAATCCCTTAAGTTCAGCTTTACTGTTTCGTCAAGAATATCTGCAAAACCGTATCAAACCGATCTACTATATTATACGTAGTTAAACATTTTTTCTCATTGCACAAAAGTCGCTCCACTTTCTCTATTCCTCAGAGTTTAAAGGCTGTCTTTTTGAAACCTGGCCTAGTTGTCATTGTTAAAATCTGCAAGCTCTTGTTTGATCCCAATAATAAAGCAATTTTTACCTGTACCTTCTGCGCCCAACAGTTTCATACATTATAGACATATTGATTTGTGTGTATTGATGAGTATATAATTTGTATTTTGATACGTATACGCCATGTTGTGATGCCTACCTTTTCGTTGTCTCAATTTTACTGATAATGGCCGCGCATGGATTTGGCTTAGGTTAGGATTACAAATAAAATAGTTGATTATTATTGCTGCTGCTGATTGGACGATTGGGGAATTGGGGGATTGCGGACTGCACATTATAAAATATCAAGTTATATTATTAAGTGTGTTTAGTGCCACATAACAGCACTTGTTTATTCCATTCACACATGCCTTGATTATATCAAATCAAATATCAGTACATTGGTTCAAATTCAATGCAACTGCCTTTATGAGAAGCAGCACCCACAAGTCACATTTTGTATGATTGTTTGCCTGTTCCTATGTAGTCCAGTAATTTAGTTATCCTTCGTTGAATTTGAATACAATCGAAACTAGTTTACTGTGACTAGCCGGTTCTAATGAACGCTCGTCTCAATTTTAATTGGTTTTCCTGACAAGCATTGTTTTCTTGAACTAGTTCCCTTGGCCATGAACTGTTCGAATCTTTTTAAGGTTTTTAGTTTCGATGTATTAAAAAATGTTAATTATTTGAGCTTGACCTCTTGACGCAGTTCACTGAACCATTGAACCGAACTAGTTCTTAATGCACAGGTGTGCAACTCTTTAAAGTTACATTTGATTCTCGTAAGCGACAATAGAATTCACCGGAAATGCGTGCAATCAATTTGTATGCAAATGAACTAGTTCATTGGCCAGCATAAAAACATTTGCTTCAGATCGCAGATCAATATAATTCCGAACACCACTTGCAGTTCAATCAACACTCGATTGACAGCGCGTATATGTATTTGTATTTGTATTTGTATTCTTGTTTGTGTTCGTGTTTGTTTCGTACATTATCTCTCGCTCTCGCTCTCTCGCTCTCTCTCTATACCTCGCCCTCTTCCCACTTTCCCAACCGATTTGAAATTCAGTTTTATTTGAATATTTCACGTTCCTTTATTTTTTGTGCTTGATTCTTGTCATTTTGATTGGAATTTTGAAAAGATTATGATGTCGTGCCTGTTTACATTAGTCGCACTTTATACTGTTGGGTGTACACGATTTGATTGATAATATTTATGTCTACACGAATTTATGAAATTATTTTATTGTTATTTTTGTTTGTGTATAAGTACAATAAACCCAAAAGCTTTCGATAATATTAAATCAAATTGTATACAAATCAGAGTACAAACAAATAATGTAATTAAATCAGGACATAAAACAGCATATATTAAATGTATATGCATATATGTATATATATATATATTCTATATATATATATATATTTGTATGTGTATATGTATGTACCTGTATATATATATATAAATATATATGTAGATCGCGCCATGCCAAGAAAATGCTCAACTATCTGGATGATATTGAGCCGGACTCATCGGCATCATTTGTGGATGAACTGGCCACGCCGCCCAGCAACGATGAAGACACGGGCTTTGGCACGGACAGCAACCAAGCAACTGCCTCGGCAACAGCAACAACAACGTCAACGGCAACAGGAACACAAACGACAACGCTTAGCTCCGAGCTTTTTGGCGGCTTCTTCAATACAACGATCAGCCACAAGGCCGCCGATGTGGTACTTTCTGTGCAACACCAGCTGCATGAACAGCAGCAGCAACATTTCCAGCAACAACAGTCGCAGCCGCAGCAGCAACAGCAGCAGCAGCAGCATCAGCAGCAGCAACAGCAGCAGCAGCAACAACATCAATTTCACTATCCTGGATTACATTTGCAGCTCCAGCAGCAGGAGAGCAGCAGTGGGGGGGCGGAAAGCGGCGGAGGAGGACGCGGTGGCAAGCATCTGAAACGTCGGAAGCTCGAATGCAATCAAGTGGAGCTCGACAACGATGATGCCTGCAGCGAGGATGAGTTTATACGCAAAATTGCCACCGTTGTGGCCGACAGCGCAGCCAGCAGCGAGCCAGGCAACATCGGATCCAACATCGGCATTGCCAGCATTGGTGGCGCCACAGCACGTTGCATGTCCGCAGAAACTATGAGCCACAGCAGCAGCAGCAAGACCCACGGCAGGAATAGCACCAGCAGCAGCGAGCCAAAGTAAGCGGCGTTTTCTTTACGAACCACAAACAAAAAAAAAAAAAAACAGAAACAGAAACAGAAACAAAAACCAAAGCTACAAACAACAGCAACAACCACAAACAAATTTGAAAAAGCAGTCTCCAAACTGCAGACAACATTTTCGAAACATTTTCAAAATGGCAACAAAAAGGTGCTCATTAAATATGTTTGCTATGGACATTTTTGAAACGAACGAATTTTGAAGAATTTAAATGGCCACAAAGTCCACAAATTGCCTGTAAATCTAACAATTTTTATATATATATAATATATATTTTATTATATATATTATATATATATCTAAATGGGCGACACATTTTTTAAATAAATAATAAACAACAACAAAAATGTACTCTTCGTATATGCATTGATGTTTATGTACATAAAAAAAGAATTTTGGAATATTTGTTTTTCACTTAAAAATGGCCACAAATTTTAATGCAATTCCATAAATTAGAATACTTTAAAAATTTACAAATTATTAAAAAACAAACTTTATTAAAATGTCTTAAAATTAAAGGCAAAAAGCTTGTGGCTTTGAATATTTGTTATTTTTGCTGTTATTTTTATTGAGAATTTTATTAACACGTTCTAAATAATTTAATGCCTAAGGTAAAATGTTTGAAAACGAATTTGTTTAAACTTTTTGTTCGGCTTTGTTGTTGTACATGCTATGTGTCTGTTATTTCTATCTCCCTTTCCCCACCCCCCCTCCCCCCCTCTCTCTCTATGTCTCTCCCAACCTCCCTATCTAGCTTTCTTGTTCTCAGTGTGTGTGTGTGTGTGTGTGTGTTTAAAGAAAATGAATCGTCAACAATAGCAAAAGCAAGTTAAAAGTAACATAAAACTCATATCAAAATAATTGTTTAAACAAAACAAAAACAACAACTGCAAAGTGCAAAGTGCAGCGCGTTGATTTTCCACACTCACATTCACATTTGTTGCCTTTTTCTTTCAATTGCTTTTATGTTCAAAAAGAAAATCAAATGTTAAGAAAATGTTTTGTGTTTTGGTTATTTTGTATTTTCCGATTCCGAATTGCAAACATTTCGCTTTGCGTTTAATATTATATACATAACTCTATTTATTGTTTTGGGCACGGCTCTCTCTCCCTCTCCCTCTCTCGCTCTCGCCTCTGTGTGTGCGAGTGTGTGCGTGTGTGTATTATAAAGCCATATATCATTTTGCATCAAGTTTATTCATCCTGGGCCCCAGCACATGTAGCACTAAATTTTTTATCATAAATCAAGATACGCATATGCAAAACACACGCATATAATACCACACCATATACAATATTTACATATGTATATATATATATATATATTTATATATTTATATATATATATATATATATTTATATCATATATATATACACTACCGAAATTCGGAATTTTCTTATAGTTTCAACGCATCTGTACAGAGTCTAGGAAAAGTTCAAAGTACGCCCTTGCTGCGTTTTATGATCCCATAGACAAATAAACATTAAAATATGGCCACGTTTTGTAGATTTGATTTGAGCTTTATTCGAATATTTGGATGCCCAGCCTCCTTCTCCACCTCACCATAACACATAGTTTGTCTATTGAACTTGGACCTGTGAGCCACTAGCTTCAACTGTTTATTGATTGTGCTTCTTCCGCAAATTGTACAATTTCCCCAGATTCATTGGAACGCGCGCCGTAACCCGCGTGGCCAACAAAAGGCAACCAACGACACCATTGAACAGCATCGCCAGCTCCAATGATGGCCATGTCCAGCTGGAGATTGTCTCCCAGCCGGAGCAACAGCATCGCGCCCGTTACCAGACCGAAGGTAGCCGCGGCGCAGTCAAGGATCGTAGCGGCAACGGTTTCCCCATTGTCCGGTTAACCGGCTATGAAAAGTCAGCCGTACTCCAGGTGTTCATTGGCACGGACATTGGACGCGTTGCACCGCATATGTTCTATCAGGCGTGCAAGGTGGCTGGCAAGAATTCGACGCAGTGCAACGAGAAGAAGGTCGACGGCACCATGGTCATTGAGATTGATTTCAAACCCGAAACGGACATGACCATCACCTGCGATTGCGTTGGCATCCTTAAGGTACACACTCGTAGAATTTACAAACTATTGTCTAGCCAATCGCATAACAACTCTTCCTGCAGGAACGCAATGTCGATGTGGAACACCGTTTCCCGGAGCACCTAGCACAGAAGAATAAGAAGAAGTCAACACGTTGTCGCATGGTCTTTCGCACGCAGCTAACACGCGACGATGGCAGCACTGAGACGCTGCAGGTCTGCTCCAATCCCATCATATGCAGTAAGTATTCACACTCTTTGAAAACTATTTTCTATTTTGGATCTATCAGATCTCTCCAACCAAAGACCCAAGCGCAATTGATGTTTCATTTGTGCCTCGAATTAGAGCCAAGTGTTACATATATGGTTTCGTAATTAGATTAATTTTTGGATAAATTTGCACTAACTTTGGTTGTTTTTTTCGTATTTCATAGCTCAGCCACCAGGCGTACCAGAGATCTGTAAAAAATCACTTAACTCTTGCCCCGTCGATGGCGGTCTGGAGCTGTTCATCATTGGAAAGAACTTTTTGAAGGACACGCACGTTGTGTTCCAGGAGACCTACGACAGTGTCAATGCCGATGATCCGGCTGCCGAGATAGTAGGCCGTCAGCAGCTGATCGGTGGAACGGCAGCGCTTTGGGAACAGAGCGTGCAGCCCGACAAGGAGTATTTGCATCAGGTACGATATAAGGCACGGATGTATCTATATCTAGGAAGTGGACGTTTTAAAGATGTTACCTTATGTAATGTTGTGCAGGATTTTTGCGAATTCCGCCCAAAAGTGTGGAAAATTTGTGGAAAACGTTTGTAAAGCATACTCCACGATCTTTATGAAAATTCATTTAAGAGGTTTACCAACTTTCACCCCTCCTGGCTAGAAAATCGTAATCACATGATTAACAGCCGAAGATTCGAGTTCTAACTCATTTCTAAGGATCTTTATAAATATTATTTGGAGACATGTTGCACACGTTTACTTCAATCCATTTTTTCTGGGTGAAAAATTATAGTTATAGGTTTTATCGGAATACGTTTTTCATATATTTCGCGAATTGCACCCGCAACCGTGAATAATTGGCGGAAAAGAAGTTGCAGTTGCTACCTTCTGATCGGCTTCAATTCATTTTTAGCAAGACCTTTGTGAAAAATATTTGTCTTCTCAATTATGACTTCCAGTGTACATAAATATTGTATTCAATTTGCTCATGTCTGCAATTTGAAGAAGACAGCTTACCCGTGGCAAAGATGGATGATACCCGCCATTATATGCAACAGCATATGCTTTCAGTTTTAGCTGACATATTTTCTTTAATTTTCAGACACATTTGATCTGCACAGTGCCGCCATATCCGCATCAGAATCTGGTAAAGCCGGTCAGCGTTCAGGTGTCAATCATCTCGAGCGGCAAGAAGAGCGAGCCGCACACCTTCACCTACACCCCCAAGGGCAGCTATACGACTCTAGCGGCGGCCAGCACGTTAAGTAGCACAATGCATAGCCAAGGTATTTATTTGTTGACTATTTCTATATAAACACCAGCCCCCAAGCAGGCATCATGAACCATAAACGTTTTAAGCGCGAAACTTGAGCATTCCAATGCACAAACACACACCCATACGGACACACAAAGACACACACACACACAAAGACACACTCAAACACACAGACATCAGCAAATAAACACTATAATTTTAACAATAATTCGTCAGGCAGTCGTCGCAGGCAGGCCAGTTGAACGCATTATCGTTAGCCAATCCAATAAATAAGAAAAACACATAGATACATAGATACATAGATACATATTACCATACATAAATGATCTCGTACATAGACACTCGTATGTATGTATAACAAACATCATATACAATACATATATTCGTTAACTCGTTTAAACACGATTCGAAAAAAAAAAAACAAAAAGAACAATATATATATATATACATACATAAGTATATATATATAATAAATAAAACCCACAAGTGTTGCAAATTTATTAGTTAGCTTAGCTAATTAGTTATTTGGTTGAGACATTTATAAAATCATAAATGAATAATCTATAATATTTAATTACGACAATTTGAAATCTCAAAATAATACTATGCGTTATTTTGTGCGCAGATTAAATTGTTTTTTTATACCCTGAACCCATTAAAAATGGGTATATTTTATACCTATCGCCACCTCTCCGCTACCACCCCAGAGCTATAAATCATGTTAATAACCCAACTTTTATTGCCAACCAATTTAAGCCAAAATTTAAATGCAATTGTCTTTTTCAGTATACACAAATATTCTATGATACAATAAGATATACTGTAGAAAATTTCATAAAGATCGGGTAAAAAAAACCAAAGTTATATGCAACTGCGCAATTGAATAGAGCAGCATCTTTGAGAATTTCTGTACAAACACACATTCATGCGCGTCTGCTTCGCATTTTAACAGCATGGTTATTGCGACTTTTTTCTGTAATGCTATTTAAGTTCCTTTTTCCAAAACGACATAACTCCGAGCGGAGATATGACCTTCCAAATCATCACGATTTTTTTTTTCAAAATCGAGGTCGGTGCGAAAATCGAAACTTTTTCAATGATTTTTTTTTAATATCTCGGGTAAATAATGTCTGATTTTAAAATGTTATTCCTTTTTGAATGCGTACCGATCCCTAACATCAATTGGCATTCAAACAAATTAAACGTCGATGGGTTCAAAAAATTTTAAAGACAAAAAAACCATTAGTTCGTAAAGTCAACCTTTTTGATGATTTCTTGGAATATTTCTGTCAAATAATGTCGGATTTTGGAATTTTATACTATTTTTGACTCGTAAGGATCAGTTCTATCGATTGGCATCAAAAAAAGGAAATCCAAAATTTTGACCCAAATCGATTAAATGGCAAGTTACATCACTTTTTTGCCGCGCGGAGATATGACGTTCCAAAACGACAGAACTCCCCGCGGAGATATGACCTTCCAAATCATCACGATTTTTTTTTCAAAATCGAGGTCGGTGCGAAAATCAAAACTTTTTCGATGATTTTTTTTTAATATCTCGGGTAAATAATGTCTGATTTTAAAATGTTATACCTTTTTGAACGCGTACGGATCCCTCCCATCTATTGGCATTCAAGCAAATTAAACATCCTTTTGTTAAGAAAAATGTTGTAGACAAAAATACAAATTGATGATTTCTTGGAATATTTCTGTCAAATAATGTCAGATTTTGGAATTTTATACCATTTTCGACTCGTAAGGATTAGTTTTATCGATTGGCATCAAAAAAAGGAAATCCAAAATTTTGACCCAAATCGACAAAATGGCAAGTCACATCACGTTCTTTTCCGCGCGGTGATATGATGTTCCAAAACGACATAACTCCGCGCGGAGATATGACGTTTCAAAACGACAGAACTCCGCGGGAGATATGACGTTCCAAAACGACAGAACTCCCCGCGGAGATATGGCGTTCCAAAACGACATACCTCCGCGCGGTGATATGACGTTCCAAAACGACAGAACTCCGCGCGGAGAAATGACGTTCCAAAACGACATAACTCCGTGCGGAGATATGACGTTCCAAAACGACATAACTCCGCGTGGAGATATGACGTTCCAAAACGACATATTTCCGCGTGGAGATATGACGTTCCAAAACGACATAACTCCGCGCGGAGATATGACGTTCCAAAACGACATAACTCCGCGCGGAGATATGACGTTCCAAAACGACATAACTCCGCGCGGAGATATGATGTTCCAAAACGACAGAACTCCGCGGGAGATATGACGTTTCAAAACGACATAACTCCCCGCGGAGATATGACGTTCCAAAACGACAGAACTCCCCGCGGAGATATAACCTTCCAAATCATCACGATTTTTTTTCAAAATCGAGGTCGGTGCGAAAATCAATACTTTTTCGATGATTTTTTTTTAATATCTCGGGTAAATAATGTCTGATTTTAAAATGTTATACCTTTTTGAACGCGTATGGATCCCTACCATCAATTGGCATTCAAGCAAATTAAACATCGTTTTGTTAAAAAAAATGTTGTAGACAAAAAAACAAATTGATGATTTCTTGGAATATTTCTGTCAAATAATGTCAGATTTTGGAATTTTATACTATTTTTGGCTCGTAAGGATCAGTTTTATATCACAAAATATCACGTTTTTTTTTTTTAAATCGAGGTCGGTGCGAAGATCGAAATCGAATAGCTCCACGCGGAGATATGACGTTTCAAAACGACATAACTCCGGGACATATATCGATATCGATACCCTGTTTTTTGGGCAATTTTGGTAAATAATAATGTCTGATTTTAAAATGTTATTCCTTTTTGAATGCGTACCGATCCCTAACATCAATTGGCATTCAAACAAATTAAACATCGATGGGTTCAAAAAATTTTAAAGCAAAAAAACCATTAGTTCGTAAAGTCAACCTTTTTGATGATTTTTTGGAATATTTCCGTCAAATAATGTCGGATTTTGGAATTTTATACCATTTTTGACTCGTAAGGATCAGTTCTATCGATTGGCATCAAAAAAAAGGATATCCAAAATTTTGACCCAAATCGACAAAATGGCAAGTTACATCACGTTCTTTTCCGCGCGGTGATATGATGTTCCAAAACGACATAACTCCGCGCGGAGATATGACGTTCCAAAACGACATAACTCCGCGTGGAGATATGACGTTCCAAAACGACATAACTCCGCGCGGTGATATGACGTTCCAAAACGACATAACTCCGCGCGGAGATATGACGTTCCAAAACGACATAACTCCGCGCGGAGATATGATGTTCCAAAACGACATAACTCCGCGCGGAGATATGACGTTCCAAAACGACATAACTCCGCGCGGAGATATGACGTTCCAAAACGACATAACTCCGCGTGGAGATATGACGTTCCAAAACGACATATTTCCGCGTGGAGATATGACGTTCCAAAACGACATAACTCCGCGCGGAGATATGATGTTTCAAAACGACAGAACTCCGCGGGAGATATGACGTTTCAAAACGACAGAACTCCCCGCGGAGATATGACCTTCCAAATCATCACGATTTTTTTTTCAAAATCGAGGTCGGTGCGAAAATCAATACTTTTTCGATGATTTTTTTTGAATATCTCGGGTAAATAATGTCTGATTTTGCAATGTTATACCTTTTTGAACGCGTACGGATCCCTCCCATCAATTGGCATTCAAGCAAATTAAACATTGTTTTGTTAAAAAAAATGTTGTAGACAAAAAAACAAATTGATGATTTCTTGGAATATTTCTGTCAAATAATGTCGGATTTTGGAATTTTATACCATTTTTGACTCGTAAGGATCAGTTTTATCGATTGGCATCAAAAAAAGGAAATCCAAAATTTTGACCCAAATCAACAAAATGGCAAGTTACATCACGTTTTTTCCCGCGCGGTGATATTATGTTCCAAAACGACATAACTCCGCGCGGAGATATGACGTTTCAAAACGACAGAACTCCGCGGGAGATATGACGTTCCAAAACGACAGAACTCCCCGCGGAGATATGGCGTTCCAAAACGACATACCTCCGCGCGGTGATATGACGTTCCAAAACGACAGAACTCCGCGCGGGGAAATGACGTTCCAAAACGACATAACTCCGTGCGGAGATATGACGTTCCAAAACGACATAACTCCGCGCGGAGATATGACGTTCCAAAACGACATAACTCCGCGCGGAGATATGATGTTCCAAAACGACATAACTCCGCGCGGAGATATGACGTTCCAAAACGACATAACTCCGCGCGGAGATATGACGTTCCAAAACGACATAACTCCGCGCGGAGATATGATGTTCCAAAACGACAGAACTCCGCGGGAGATATGACGTTTCAAAACGACATAACTCCCCGCGGAGATATGACGTTCCAAAACGACAGAACTCCCCGCGGAGATATAACCTTCCAAATCATCACGATTTTTTTTCAAAATCGAGGTCGGTGCGAAAATCAATACTTTTTCGATGATTTTTTTTTAATATCTCGGGTAAATAATGTCTGATTTTAAAATGTTATACCTTTTTGAACGCGTACGGATCCCTACCATCAATTGGCATTCAAGCAAATTAAACATCGTTTTGTTAAAAAAAATGTTGTAGACAAAAAAACAAATTGATGATTTCTTGGAATATTTCTGTCAAATAATGTCAGATTTTGGAATTTTATACTATTTTTGGCTCGTAAGGATCAGTTTTATATCACAAAATATCACGTTTTTTTTTTTTAAATCGAGGTCGGTGCGAAGATCGAAATCGAATAGCTCCACGCGGAGATATGACGTTTCAAAACGACATAACTCCGGGACATATATCGATATCGATACCCTGTTTTTTGGGCAATTTTGGTAAATAATAATGTCTGATTTTAAAATGTTATTCCTTTTTGAATGCGTACCGATCCCTAACATCAATTGGCATTCAAACAAATTAAACATCGATGGGTTCAAAAAATTTTAAAG